CTGGAAGAAATATTGCCTGGGTCAGGGATGCTGTTGATGGACCCGTGTGCTCTGAGAGCTGTTACGCCAACCAGCAGTTGTGAGCCAACCTAGAGACTGAACCCTCAACGGCTTCTTCTCCCTTTCCCCAAGTTTTGCAGGATATAGAAGAAATAAAAATAAAATTTCTTCTTTTTTTAGTAATGCGCTTATAAAATAGTAAAGCTTTTTGTGCTCTTATTTTCCCTCTGGGAAGCCTCTTAGCCCAGCAAAGAGACCCCACATATGTATTCCTATAGCACGTTGTTGAGTTGTGGTTTATATTCAGTGAAATCCACCTATTTGAAGTCAATAGTTTGATGAGTTTTTTTTTTTTTTTGAGACAGAGTCTCGCTTTGTTGCCCAGGCTAGAGTGAGTGCCGTGGTGTCAGCGTAGCTCACAGCAACCTCAAACTCCTGGGCTCAAGCAATCCTGCTGCCTCAGCCTCCCAAGTAGCTGGGACTACAGCTGGGTCCCAAGTAGCTGGTACTACAGCTGATGCGCCATCATGCCCAGATAATGTTTTCTGTATATATTAGTTGGCCAATTAATTTCTTTCTATTTATAGTAGAGACGGGGTCTCGCTCTTGCTCAGGCTGGTTTCGAACTCCTGACCTCGAGCTATCCACCTGCTTTGGCCTCCCAGAGTGCTAGGATTATAGGCGTGAGCCACCGCGCCTGGCCTAGTTTGATGAGTTTTGACGAAGGTATGTATGTGCTCATGTAATCACCCCAGACAATTACTTTGTGCCTTGGCTTTTTCTGCTTCTTTAAAACTGTGGTAAAATACACATAACATAAATGTGTCATCTCAACTGTCTTGAAGTGTACAGTTCAGTGGTGTTATGTACACTCACACCATTGTGCTACCGTCACAGCCACCCAGCCACAGAACTGTTTTCATCTTGCAAAACTGAAATTCTGTACTCCTTACCAGCAGCCCCCAACCTTTTTGGCACTGATTTCATGGGAGACAATTTTTCCATGGATGTGGTGGGGTGGGGGAGGTGGAGCTCAGGCATGATGCAAACTATGGGGAGGGGAGCAGCTGTACTCACAGATGAATCTTGGCTTGCTCGCCCTCCCTGCTCACCTCCTGCTGTGCACCCCCTTCCTAAGTTTCATGGAAGGTGGGGAGGGGTTGGGGACCGCAGCATTAAGCAATAGCTCCCCATTTCCTCTCCCCAGTGGTTGACCCTGGCAACCACTATTCTACTTCCTGTCTCTATGGATTTGACTTTTCTTTTTAAAAATTGTGGTTAAAAAGAATCGTAAAATTTGTCATCTTAACCATTTTTAAGTGTACAGTTCAGTAGTGTTAAGTAGCAGCTTTTTAAAAAGGTAGTTTTAGGTTTAGCTGTGAATGCAGAAAACCCCAAATAACAGTAGCTTAAATAAGGTGATCCCTGGCTGCCATGGCTGTTCCATCACCAAGGATGCAGGCTCTTATCTGTGCTTTGTCATTTGTAATGCAATGTCTGTCTCATAGTCCAAAATGACTGCACCAGTTCTGGCCATCAACTTCAGATTCCAGCCAGCATATGGGGAAAGGGGGAGAAAGGCTCACTTTCCCTCTTATAGAACACTTCCTAGAAATGACACATTATTTTGTGCTTTTATCCCAGTGAACAGAACTTAGCCACATAGGCTCATCTCACTGCAAGGGAACTGGGAAATGTAGTCTTTATTCTGGGCTATGTATTCTAATTCTAATCTGTGAGTTTCATTCTGAGAAAGAAGAGGAGAATGCATGTTGGGCATCCCCAGTGGTTTCTGAAATGGCTTCCCTGCCTCATATCACTGATCTCTGCACTGAAATCAATTCCTCCATTTACCAGACTGTGGGCTCCTGCAGCCAGGGGCTGTGCCATTTACATTTTGCAACTTAGCACAGAGCCAGGTGTATTTATTTATTTATTTTTTTTTCAGCTCTTAGACACCAACGGATGAGCCAGGTGTATTTAGATGCTTAATGTTTGTTATACAGATAAACAATTTTAGCCCAGCCAGCCTTTTTAAGAACTGTTTTAGTGAAGCCCTGAAGGGGTAGAGACTAGAGTCGTCTAGTCCAGGTTCCCACCAAACTCACTGCTTCACCGCAAACCCAGCTGTGGCCTCCAACTGGCCACGCCCACTGCCAGGCCCTCACCACTGGCACAGCTGGGCAGCTCCAGCTATCAGGGCCCCTTCCTGGTGCCGGGGCCCACACGGCTTCCATGGACCTCTCCTGTTGGTCCTGCACCGCCCTCCACGTGATGTGTGCACTGCCACGGCGCCCCCCGCCCCTGAACCTCCCCTGCACCAGGCAAAGAAGCCTCCAAGAGTCTGCACAGGACATGTTTCCTCCTGAGGAGTGGGGGACATTCTGGGCTCGAGAGTGTCCTGAGGCTGAGCCCCCAGGCAGGAAGGCTGTCCCACCTTTGTCCTGAAGCCCTTCCAGATTGAGCAGAGGAGAGCTGGTGTCCTCACGTCTTGCCGGGACTCTCTGAAGGACTCCGGCTTCAACATGTTCTCGCCAGTAAATGAGGAAGCAGTTGACACTTGCCGTGGGATTTGTTTCTTGTGCGTGTGAATACAGACATGGCCTCACAGCACAAAAGCTGCCGCTTGGGGGGGGGGCGTGATGCGAGGAGGTGGATGCTGTGTGTCACAGGTCCCCGACACTGTGTGCATGTCTTGGTTGGCCAGTTCAAGTCCCCACACCTCCCCATGGAGACCCCCTTGTGCTTCCCCAGGGAGACCCTGGGTGTCAGAGATGCAGATAACATCTGTCGTCTGTCTGTCGCAGTGGACAATCTGATCCAGAAACAGGGGACAGGGCAGGGAGAGAGAGGTGTCTGTTCTTGAGCAAGAAGAATGCGTGCCTTAGATAGCTGAGGGTGACCCAGGAGAGGGGTGAGGACTGGCAAGGGGGTGGACGGGGTAAGATCTGGGGAGTGGACAGGGACCGGGGCTGGCTCAGCCCTCTGCCACTAGGCACATCACGACAGACATTGCACAGTCTCCGCTAGACCTGCCAGCTCGACCCGAGGGGCTGCTGGCTGCCGCTGCCTGCTGCTGAAAGCCTGTAGCACCCCCAGCCCACAGCATGGCCTTTTTGGGTGATTTATGTTGTGAGGCCTGATGGCCTGTCCCCCTCTTCTCCTTTCCTGAAGTCTGTGGTCCTCTGGTGGCCTCTGTGGCTTCTTAAGCTAACCCTCCCCACGCTGGGCCTTATGGCTGCAGAAGACAGCACCTCTCCAGCACCCTTCTAAGACTGTGGCTGCTAAACTCTTCAGGGGAACAGTGCCAGGGTGTGACAAAGACCCCACGGGAGGTGTCACACAAGGGCCAGGGCCTCACACTGTCCTCTCAGTTGAGGCTTCACACATGGCCTCCCAGTTCCTTCCAGAAAGACCTCCAAGTTTTAACTGGATGTCAATGGAAAAAAAGCCAAAGTCTGTAAAATAATTTTCAAACTCCTGACCTTGAGCCATCCTCCTGCCTCAGCCTCCTAGAGTGCTAGGATTACAGGTGTGAGCCACCGGGCCCGGCCTCTGTAAAATAATTTTAAAGAGATTTATTCTGAGCCAAATTTGAGGATCATGACCCGGAGCCATGCTCAAGAAGCCTTGAGCAGTGGACTCATGTGGCTGGGTTACAGTTTGGTTTTATACATTTCAGAGAGACAGGGGTTATAGGTAAAGTCAATCAATACGTGGGAGGCATACATTGGTTTGGCCCCAAAAGGTCGCGTATCTCGAAGGAGGGGGGCTTATAGGTGGGTTTAAAGATTTTTGGCTTGTAATCAGTTAAAGACTTGAAGCTTTGTCTAAAGGCTTGGAATGTTTTAAGGTAAGGAGTTATCAGAGATAAGCCATCAGACATAGATTTGTTGTGTAAACTGAGGACCTGTAGGTTTGTCTTGTATACCCTGTTAATGGGTTACAAAGGATGTTTTTAAGAAGGGTGAGGGGCATGATAAGGCATGTCTGACTTTTTTCCTCCTGGCAGGCAGTTTAGTTTTAGGATATTCCTTTGGCCACGAGGGGGTCCATTTAGTCAGCCGATGGTGGTGGGGGGTGAGCCTTAAAATTTTATTTTAGTTCACATGGACTACCCAGAGAATGGGACTCCCCGGACTTCCCTGGCATTTGATTTCCCTTCCCCCACAACGGCTCTTCTCGCCAAGACTGCTCTCCTTGGCACGCGCTTGCAGCGCAAGCAGGGCTGAGCAAGAAGGGGCCCGTCTCTCCCTCTGGAGAACTCTGTGCGGGCTGCACTGTGCCCAACGGCCGTCAGCCTGGCAGTCTGGGCCACGGGCAGCTTCTCCTGCCCTCCCTGGGCACGGTAGCCACAGGGGCTGCTGGCAAGGCAGCGGGGTCGCCGGGAGGCAGCAGGAGAGTGGGAGCCGATGGCATAAATTTAGATCTGGGGCCTTTAAGAAAAATGCTCAGAAGAATCATCCCACCCGGCACTAAATACCAAATGAGTCAGCCTCTGGACGGTCATCACCCTTCTCCCCCAGATTCCCTGGCGAGGCAGAGGAGGCTGGCTCGGGCTGCCTCGCTAACTGGCAGCAGCTGAAACCCACAGCTTCCCTGTGACCCTGTTCCAGCCTCCACTCCCACGGTGACCCCCGACGAGTGTTCATATTTTACCTTTAGGGGGAGGAGCCAGGGAAGGGGCTCAGGGTTCCCTCCCTACTCCCGAGGGGACAGAATCTGTCCTCAGTTCTTTCTTTGGCTGATGCTTTTGGACTTAAGAAATAATGTCCTGGTGACATGGACATCTCCCACCGAACCTTCCTCCTGCTCCTGTCCTCTCAAAAGCAGGTGTGACTTGAGGGGGCATTTCTGAACAACCAGAGCTGATAAGAACAAGCAGAGTGCGCACCTCAGCGCTTGGTCACAAAGACACGTGCGCGTTCCAGAGCCAGGGCCAGGTGGCGCGCCCGACGTGCTGGCAGGTGAGTCTGTCATTCCAGCGAGGTGAGTCAGCAGACATGGAATATTCATTTATTTGGGCAAATGTGTCACATCAGGCTCATTCTGAAAAGAAGGCCAGCATGCAGTGGTTTGCCCCTGGGGGTAGGGTCGCCACAAGCAGGAGGGCAGGAGGAGGCAGGGAAGAGGGGAGGTGGTGCCCCCCAGCATCGGGGCGGCGTGTTGGACCTCCCGTCCATGGAAATACCTGGCTAAGCCTGGGGACTGCCAGGGGAGTGAAGCAGGGATGGACACGAGGACAGATTCCAGAGGCTTTGGTTTTATTGTGTAGTTTTCTTTTTCCTCAATAAGATGCCATAAGCTGTGGTGGCACTACACAAGGTCACAGGACAGGCAGGGCTGCCGGGCAGGGAGCGGGGGTTGGGAAAAGCCATCTTCCCAGGAGTGTCCCGCTCCCGGGTCTCTCGCCGCAGCCTGCCTCAGGCGCCCCAGAGGTCCCTGAGAAGGCAGGCCTGTGGGCCAGGGGGCTGCCGAGGGGCTCAGACACCAGCCAGCAGGGGCCAAACTCCCTGTGGCTCTCGGACTCTATCCTACCTGACTTCTGGAAGCTCCTGGGGGCCTGGGACAGCCTGGGAGGGGCTTGGCCGCCTCTGCAGCCCTCTCACTGCTGGTGGGGGCAGGAAGGCTAACACTTTCAGCTTCCTTAGGAAGGGAGGAGTGAGGGGCCCTCACCCCCCAGCCTCTTCTCCAACCCCCCATTAGTGCAGCTCCCTTGGCAGAATGCGGATCTTCACTGGGGTGTGCCCCTGGCCCAGGGTCCCCAGGGGGCTCCCGCAGTGGTAAGACAGGGCTTTTTCTGCTGTGGCTGAGGATGCCCCTGCAGATGCATGGTGGTGTTCTCACGCCTGTGGTCTTCTGGTGCCAGCCCTGCCTGCCGAGTGGGGCACTAGGCTTGACACACCCCACCCCCTCCCCATGCACATCAGGCTTCTGGTCCCAGTGGGCAAGGATGAGCCCCCACTGGCTGGTACCCCTGCAGCCCACTACCCCTCACACGCTTTCAAGCTCCATCAGGTCCCCAACTCTGGCTTCCCTTTTCACAAACTCCCAAAGGAAAGGAAGGAGAAACCCTAAATAAACCAGACGGAAGCAGCTCTGGAACAAAGAGTACAAAAGGACAGCCAGAGGTGTGCAGGGAGGGTGAGGTGGCAGTGGCGGGGGGCCGGGGTGGGGGAGTAGATCATGGCATGCAGCACTGGGGCTCCTGATAAGGAGTGGGGTCCCCATTTCTCCCCGAGGTGAGTGAGGGATGGGGGTAGTCAGCTGACTCAGAGAAGTCAGATCTCTGCACTGGGACTCATGGCTTCCTGTATCCCCCATGGGCCCCAGCAGTCACAGGGAAATGAAGTCCGTGGCCTGGAGGAGGGACAGGGACATCAGGAGCAGCAGCAGCCACGAGGTGTTCTGGGCCAGCAGGCTTATGCCCTCACACTTGACCAGTTTGTCTGTGGAGAGAGAATGGGGTGGGGGACAAGGCGGGGATGAAGGGGGACCAGGACTCAGACAGGCCCAGACCCAGAGCAAGGGCGTGCTCCCCTTGGGGTGTCTTAGTTGGAACCAGGACCAGCCTGGTCTTCCCCATTCGCAGATTACCGACCCCTTGAACACACATCGTCCTATGAAAAGCTCACTGAACATCATCGCGAGAACACTGTGGGTGAGGGGGGTGCTGGCATCCCTGTTTTCCAGGTGGGGAGAAGGAGGACTGAGGAGGCCCAGTGACTTGCGGCAGTCATGGTGGGAGCATCTGCTACGCCACCCTGCCAGGCGACTGGCGCTGAGCCCCCGCCCCATTCACACTGAAGGCAGTGGTTCCCAGGGGTACTGGGGAGCAGGTGGGAGATGGCGAGGGGCTTATGGGGCCACTCTCCTCTCTGGCCCAGCCAAGTGAGCTGCCTGTCACCCTCCCCAGGCTGGGTGTCCCAGCACACGTGGCCTTGTTGGGGGCTTGCCTCACCTCTGAGCACAGAGACGTTTTGGGAGGAGACGGAGGAAGGCTGGCCAGAGAGGCGGAGTTCACATGTGTAGGTCCCCTCGTCCTTAGTGGTGAAGGCAGATAAGAAGAGGACCTTGAGGTTGTGCTTGCTGGTTAAGTTGGTTCGGGAGCGGTATGTGTGCTCAGGCACCCCCACAGTGCCATAGAGCACGTGCTTCTTTGTCTCACGGGTCAGGCTGAACTCGTACTGGATGGGCAAGGTGGTGGTGTTCTCATAGCGGCAGTCCAGACGGAGGCTCTGGTCTGCCAGGCAGGCCGTTAGGCTGGTCACCTTCTGCCCTCGGGACACCTGCAAGACTGGCACCAGCAGTGCCCCTTCCGAGTTGGAGGAGGTCTACAGAGCAGGGGGCCTCCCCCACCCACACACAGTAGAGATGGGCTGGTAAGGACACAGGGGTCAGCTGTCTGAGTGCCTTTTCCTGTCCCTGGGATCCTAGAGGGCCAGTCTAGCACCCCTGCAGACTCCAGCCTCCCTCCCTAGTGTGCTGGAGCCCTGGGCCCTGCCAGTGTGTTTCGAGGGCAGGAGATCTTAGGGAGCTGACGCAGGTGTCTGCTTCCCATTTGGAGAGTTCAATTCAGCAGTGTGGGGCAGGGCTCAGCGAACTGTGTTTCCAGAAACCACCTTGGGCCATCAGATCCGCTAGGTGGATATGCTGACTTTGGGATGAAAAAGACCCCCCTTTCCCTCAGTCACCTTTACTTTTCTGAGGTCATGAGGAAGGAAGCCAGGGTGCCCGGATCCCAGTCCCGCCCCTTGCCTAGTACCTGTCAGCAGGAGAGCGATGCCAATGGCTGGGTGCATGGTGCCAACAGCTCAGTCCTGGACCTGGGGTGGGAATAGGATGGAAACCAGCTAAGAGACAGCACAGGTGTCCCCACACTTACTTCCAGGGCTGGGAGCCTCGGGAACGTGCCACATGGCCATGATGGACATCTCAGCCTCTCTCTATCCCCCCTCTCCTCCCCACTTCTCACGGAACTGGACATTGCCACTGGTTTTTCCTGTCAGGGAGAGCAAGGGAGGAGGAAGAACACGCCCTGTAGTGGTGAGTTTCTGTGCTTAGCTGTGAAGCACTTACTAGCTAGGTGACTTAAGTGACTTTATCTTTACCACTCTTTCTCCTCTGCTTAGGAATGTAAGACCCATGAGGGCAGGAACTTCTTGTCTTAAAAAAATTTTTTTTTTAATTGTGGTAAAATATAAATAACATAACATTTACTATCTTAACCATTAATAAACTCAGTATGGTCAGCAGTGTAAAGTACGTTCACATTGCTGTGCAACCAATCTCTAGAACTCTTTTTATCTTTCAAAACAAAAACTTTATGCCATTAAACAAAAACTCCCCATCCAGGGGCTTCCTATTTCGTGTTCAGAAGAAAATCCCCAATGCCCAGAACAGTCCCTGGCATAGAAAATACGCTCAGAAGTATTGTGAATGAATGGGTCTTTCTGAACCTTACACACCCACAGGGCTACGATGGAGATTAAGAGAAACAACAAACCTCTGGCACTGGCTGCTGCACAGTCAGTGATCCACAAATGTGAACGGCTAGGGATGGTGGGTAAGGATGCTCTCAGATAGGCGTCTATTTGGCATAAGCTAAGGGTGTGCCTGGATGTGTGAGAGGGAAGTGACAGTGCTCTCCGATTGCATGTGAGCCAAGGATGCTTCCAAATGTCATCTCTCTGGAGTTCCTGGGGCTGCAGTTTTCCAGTCCATTTCCAATAGCCTCCCTGCCTAGACTCTCTGCCTTGTCTTTCTTTGTAGCTTGGGCTGGACCAACACCCTGGCGCGAGGTGACGGAGCAGGCAGTCTAGCCTGTCAGCAGCAGTGCTCGCCTGACACAGGCCACAGGGGCGGCCTGCGCCTGCCAGTGCGCGCAGGGCCCTGCTTCGGTGGCGCGCGCCCGGGGGCGCAGCGCGCACCACTGGCCAAGTTCAGGGTCCCTGGCGCTCAGCCACTGGGCAGGTGAGGCTAAGGTCCCACGGCTGCGGCCGCTATAAATGACCTGTCGGTCCCGGGGCAGAGCTGCCACCGCGAACCAGATCCTGCGGCGCTGTTGCGGAGGAAAGGGGGTTCGTGTCTGGCTTTCCGTTCGAGGACACGGGCCTACGGAGGAGAAGTGTAGGATTGGGATCTAGGAGGGGAAGGGAGAGCGGTGGCCACAGCAAGAAAGGGAGGAGATAGGTCTGAGGCTGGAGAGGGTAGCAGAGCCAAACGGGGGGGTAGAGAGCAGTTGGGAAGCTGTAGTCTGCATTCATTACTCTTCCTTGTGTCCTCACGGCCCAGACCCAGAGAAGCTCTGCCCTCCCACCCCCACCCCCACCCCCACCCCCGCTCCAGCTCCGCCCGGCAGGCCCCACCCTTACCATTTCCATATTCCAATCCTCCCCTTTCCCTATGGAGGCCCCCTTCCCCCTCGCATATCCTTTTCCAGTTCTCCCCTCCCCCGCCTGCCCGCCTTCCACCCAGCCCCCGCCCGTGGCACTGCGGTTTCCTTTTCCTTCCGTGCCCCGCACCCAGCCCGCCGTGAGGTCACCGGGCAGAGGTCCCTCCAGCTCTCCATCCTCCGTCATCTCCCTCATCATCACCCGCAGCCCTCACCCCCAACCTTTGCAAGCTGGGTTCGGGGGCGTCTGGATGGAGATCAGAACCGAAGGCTGACTTTGGCGCCCTTCCTCCCGGTCCTCCTCCAGGGAGGCAGCCTCAGACAAGCGTGCGCCAGCGGGCGAAAGCCCGGGAGCCCCTTTCCCCGAAGGCTAGGTGCGGCGGCCCCTGCCCAGCAGTAGGGTCCCACCCCCGCCCCTGCCTGCGAGGCGGGCCCCTCCCCAAGCGCTGCGCCGCTCCTTCCCAGGGCGCCCCAGACGGTTTCCCAAAGCCCCGGGTTGGGAGGGCTTGCAGCGGTGCCTGGTGGCTATCCTTGCATCCGGGGTCCCGCCCTGGCTCCAGCTCCCACCTGGACTCGGGTCCTCTGCTGCTGCTGACTCCTCCCGACGCGCGGCCGCCTCCAGTTGCTGCACCCTGCTCGCTGCCTGCAGTTTTCACCAGGGGTGGAGGAGAGGGGAGCGGGAGGGCTGGGGGCTCAGCCAATCACAGGCGGAGCGGGGAGAGAGGATGGAGGGCGGGGGGAGGAGAGGCGGTTCCGCGTTGGTGCGGGAGGGTGGGGGGTTGTCGCAGCAGGGGGACCTCACCCTGAGGCTGGGAGCCCTGGCCAGGGACTGGAGGCTTCGGGAGGATTCGAAAGCCTGGAGGTCAGGGTGGGGCAGCCCAAAGAACATTAGCTACGTCCCCAGCCCCGAAATGCTTGCTCCCCTTTTATGGCCGTGACCCTTTCTTAGGATCTGCTCCTCAGAAATCTGTGGGAAACCAAAGTGTTAGGGGTGCGGGATGGAGGCCGGCACCGGGCCGCTTGGGCAGGGCCCACGCTTCCGCGTTTCCTTTTCAGCCGGAGCCCACCTCCTCCGGAGCCTCCAGGGAGAGGTTTTGGTGTCGGAATATTCCAGTCTCTCTGACAGGAAGCTGGCGGGGTGTTTTTACATATTGGAGCAGTCCTTCAGAAGCAAGGCTGGCGCTGCACCCCCGTCCTTCCCTGCCTCCCAGCCATGCCCGACTCCCCCGCCCCCGTCTGCTCCGGAGCACCCAGCCCTTTAGGGACACCTGCAGGTGCTTTCTGCTCTGGGGCACTCATGTCTCCCTCGGCTCCTGGGCTGGCACCTTCCTACCCACACAGCTAGAAAGTTCTTCTGGCTTTCATGAGTACTGTCTGCTTGTTTGATCTTCAGACCTGAGAAGGAGTCTTGCCTTTTACCAAGCACTGTGCTGGAAGCATGCCATCCATGGCCAACCCAAGATAGTCCTTACCTCCCAAGGACCTGCTGGGCTCATCCCATCCCATCCCCCATCCCATTTCTTGGCTAGAAAGCAGGAGAGCAGGCCAACTGACCTGGGCTGTAGAACCCCACATGCTCAGGGCTGAGCCACCCCTCTCAGCCCACCCCAGCCCAGGAGAGGAGAGAGTGGAGCTCTGGGAAAGGAATAGGCTGAGCCCAGCTCCTGATGCCCTGGGGCACCCCTTCTAGTCCATCAATTTGATGTCACTAGAAGACCTGCGGTCTTTTTTTTTTTTTTTTTTTTTTACAGGCAGTGCTGATGACTTGTCTCTCACTCACAACGGGGTGAATTTTTTTGAACCTACAACTGTTTGATTGATTTGCATCCTCCTGGCCTCTTTGTGAATTCTGGTCCCAATGTTCTGTGGGCTGGCCCTGCCTCCTGGCTGTCTGCCTGCCTATTCTCCTATTTCTTCATGGAAGTCAGCCCTGGCACCTTTGCAGTTTCCCATACTGCAGTGGCACTGTTGGAAGCCATCTCTGGGCCTGCAAGTGGGAGCTCGCTCTCCTCTCCCTCCCTTGGAGGGTTAGCTGGTCTCCCAGCACTTTGTGTGATGGAACATTCTAACTGGAATGAGCTTTGCAGATGGTCAGGCCGAAAGGAGCTATTCACTTTGGTAACCCACAGAAGCTGCTGGGGCATGGTATGAGAAACGCAGCTGGCTCCGCCCACCCAGGGCCTCCTTAATCTAGCACTAGAGCCAACTGGGTCTGCACTTTCCACAAGCTCCCTGGGGCCTGGGCATTCTAGCACACTGATCTGCTAAGACCATCCCTCTTCACAGATGAGCTAACCTGGCCTCTCATTGCTCACAGGCTGATTTTCAAGGCCCTGGATGTCCTGGCTGCTGAACTCCACAACCCTGTCTTCCCATCCGCCTTCCTGCTGCATTCCAGACACACCAGCCTTCTCTCTGTCACTCCGTGGCAGCGTGCTCCTTTCTGCTTAGCAGCTTTCTGATTCTCAGTCCAGGGATCTTTCCTATCAAAACACAATTGCTTTAGCTTGGGGCCTAACCCTCCCTCCTCTGTCTCTGTCTTTCTCTACACACACACACACACACACACACACACACACACACACACACAGGGGCAGGGGTAGAGGCTGGAGATAGTTCCTTTTTTCTTTTGGTGGGACATGGGGACACTCAGAGACCCCTAACAGCAGAAAGTATCTGGGGTCTGGCTGGCCAGGGCCCTGTATGTCCCATGTCCCAGTCTGCAGCCCAGTCCCTGAGTGTTGCTGTGTGGAAGGCCTGGCAGTGCTATTTTGATAAGGTTATGAGGACTTGGCCTAATTTCTGGGTCCCCAAGCACTTTACCTTCAAGGAGGGGAGGGGAGTGTGGACTGTAGAGGGTGTGGCAATTGTGAGTCTACTAAAGCAAGGTTTCTGGGTGGAAGGAATGAATGGCTCAAATGAGACATCTGGGGGCTGGAATGGTGAAGGGAGATTTTAAAAGTCCCATTTACTCATGGACAGGATGGGAGTGCTGAAAGCAGCAAGTGTTAGAGGAATCTAGCCAAAGCAAGATTTCCTGCCAGACTATGGTTGCCCTTCTGGTCCGTTAGACCTCTCATCTCCCACCACCTCCTGTTGCTCCAGCTGTAGACACATGGGGATAAAACTCTCCTACAAACACACAAAACACCTATGGGCTCTTTATATTCATTGGTTTCATAACATTGTCTTTGTAGACTCACAGGGATGGCAGAAGCTGCCCCATCATTTTATAGCTAGGACTTGAGGCCCAAGAAGAAGAATAATTTGTCAAAGGTCAGACAAATATTTTGGAGCATGGCCAGGACTAGTTGGATCTCAGGTCTCTGGACTCCATGTACGGTGCTCTCCGATGCTCCCAGGGTGGATCCTCAGACCTCTGCTTGACCAATTTCCCTGGTCCACGGTGAAATAAGAAAAACAAGGATAGTGTTGGGTACTCTGAACATGGCTGTCACCTTGTTTTGATTGCTTGTTCTTTATGCTATTGATGAAGGCGCTATCACGACCCACTAGGGTTATGGAGATGGCTGACCACATGACACCCAACACTGTACAGATGCCATCATTAGTCACACACACTCATATCCCAGAGGATGACACCACATGCCATGAGTTGCTACATGGGAGCTGCACTCAGGAACAGAGTGAACACCAGGAGGTGAGGGAGGCGGGCTTTGTAGCATCAAAACCATGGGAGGCCACCTGTGTCCTACAAGAGGGTGTGATTGGCTATTTGAATACTTTTGCAGCCTGGCTGAGGACTGAAGCCCAGGCCTGGTCCCATGCTGGGGGAATTTATCAGCTGAATGGAGAGTGAGCTTGTGGTTAGGCCATTTGAGGTCCTCCTGACTTTAGCAGATGTCAAGGTAGCACACAATAATGAGCCCTATTGTTTGGCTAATTGAGGTCACATACTCGCTTTCCTTCTGTTTTCATTCTAAGGTTGTACCTTTTCACTTTTTAAAAGTGGTGACAGAGCCGGGTGCGGTGGCTCACGCCTGTAATCCTAGCACTCTGGGAGGCTGAGGCGGGCGGATTGCTCGAGGTCAGGAGTTCGAAACCAGCCTGAGCAAGTCTCTACTATAAATAGAAATAAATTAATTGGCCAACTAATATATATATAAAATTAGCCGGGCATGGTGGCGCATGCCTGTAGTCCCAGCTACTTGGGAGGCTGAGGCAGCAGGATTGCTTGAGCCAGGAGTTTGAGGTTGCTGTGAGCTAGGCTGACGCCATGGCACTCACTCTAGCCTGGGCAACAAGCGAGACTCTGTCTCAAAAAAAAAAAAAAAAAAGTGGTGACAGTAGATGGTATGTGTATATGTGTGTTTTTAATGTCCTACTTGGCAAAAAAAAAAAAAAAAGAAAGAAAGAAAGAAAGAAAAGAAAAAAAGAATTGGCCACTTTTTGTTAATTCTCAAACCTCTTTGGAAATATGACTAAGTCTATGAAATTAATCTTGGAACCAATTGCTCTAGACTCTGCTGTGTCTCTAAATCTCTAGTTGAGGTCAACTCCCAGAGTGAGTTCAGCTCCCTGAAGAACTGCATATTTGCTTGGAGAATATGACAAATAAAAAATCAAGATTATTTCTTAGAATGCAGGGCAGAGGTTGAGAGGCGAAAGCACCAATGGAAATATAATTTAATCTTCAATAGTTATTTATTTTAAAAACTATTCATGGGTGTTTAATTCATCAAATAATTAAAAGACATTATTAGCACTAGTAACATTCCAGGCACAGGGCTAGATCTTTGGAATACAAAGATAAACAAAACACCATCTCTACCCTCCAAGGCTTGTTCCAATGGGTGAAACAAATGGTATGTAGATAAGTAGAAAGCGATAGGGTTAGTGCAGAGGTAGAGATGTGTGTAGGTTATTGCAGGAGTCCAAAGGACGGACAACTGACGACCAGTCAGCCAGGGAGGGCTTCTTGCAGGTGAGGCATGGATTGAGCCTTTAAAGATGAGTGGGAGCTGCCCATGTATGGTAGGTTGTTACATTGGTTACTCCAGTGAGTCATGCCTGCCAGCATCCTTGCCTTCCACACGGATTCTGGGCTTGGCCATGTGTCTTGCTTTGGCCAAAAGGCTGTCAGCAAATGTGATGTAAGCAGCTTTGTATGTTGGGCTTTGCCTTCCTGGAGTTCAGCTGCCACGTGAGGAAGTCTGAGCTGGCCATGCAGAGAACTGAGGTGTCCTAGTGTATAACAATCACCATTTGGGATCTGTCAGCCCCTACTTGACCGGCCACATGACCACAAAACCATGAGGAATTCCAAGTGACACCACACAGAACAGAAATGAACCACCCCAGATAAGTCTACTGTGGTGATTCTAAAACTTGGGCATAAATTCTTTGACATTCCTTCATCAAGAGGTGAAGCCTATGTCTCTTCATCTTGAATCTCAAGGGGCTTGTGACTGCTTCAACCAATAGGGTATGGCAGAAGTGATCATAAGAGGCTTCTGCATTTAGGCCTTAGAAGGCTGTATAGCTTCTACCTTGTTTTCTGGAACATTCACTCTTGGAGCCAGTATGGAAAAAGTCTGACTACCCTGTGGCTACCTTGCATGGCTCCAAGCAGTTTCAAGTCTGCCTGGCGGCGGAACAAGGATAACTCGTATTATGTGGTAGAGTTAGTGGTGGAACAATTGGCAGAAATGTTTCTTAGATGATAGAAAATGTGCCTGATGAATTTGTGGATTTGGCTAAAGGGATCTAGAG